AAGGCCCATGCAGGTCTTAACAATTCGTTCACTTTTTAAAATTTCAAGATTTATGAACTTCAAACAGTCCTGCATCGTGGCCATCCACAATAATTTATGCAATGCCTTAAAATATGGCTTAATAGTTTACACTTTGTATAGTTTGTATGATTGTATAGGTCTACATTTGGACAAAGCACTCATATATTACCACATTTTGATTTTCATTATTTTTTGAGGTTTATATATTTCGGGTAATATGTTCTTTGAAAGAACTCAGTATGGGTCCACTATTTCAACGTGATCGTCCCAATTTAATCAATTTGGAAGGTTCCATACTCGGCTCCAACCCTATTGGTTCCCATATAGCAGATACAGTTTGTTGAAAAATTTCGACCCACCCTATAAGAATTCTCCAAAACAAATAGACTCTTTATCCATAACGACAATCTTGCTTATAGTTCTGCATAACATTTATATTTTAAGCCATTTGTTTTACGTATCGTTTTACGAAAGCCTCATTCCATTCGAACTATAGCAGCAAATTTTCCACACCAATTCCTCATGGATTAAAGTTATGTTTAATTAGAAAACAAATCAATTTGTGTGGGTTTTGGACTTTTAAAGCTTATTTATAACAATTATTTTCATGCCTTCGCTGTCAATAATTGAACTATGTATGTTTAATTGTTGTTTATATGGCAAAACTATTTCAAATGAACATGTTCATATATTCACCTCAAGTTGTTTGGCCATTTTTGGAATATCTAAATCGGTACATGTGCGAATAATGAGACATTACGATTGTTTGTAATTGCTTGATTTTGAAATGTATAAAAGCATACGCTAATATAATTTATATAATTTAATAACACACATTTTAAAAAAATATTATTTTAATGTATCAAAATGTGGCTAAAAACAAAAAAAATATAACTTACAGGTATACGATGAAAATCGATTCGATTGTGAAATCGGAATTGGGTACATTTTAGTTTGTGGTATTTAATAACACACATTAAAAAATATTATTTTAATATTTTGTGATGAAATCGATTCGATTTGTGGACTCAGAATTGTTTTTTTTTTTTTTTTTTTTTTTTTATTTGATAATAAACACGTATTTCTTTGACAAAATGCTCTTTTGAAATTATATTTTCAAAATTTAGCCACAATTTTCCTTTGTCAAGTTTAAGATATAGTAAATCGATTTATGCCAAAACGAATCGAAATTGTTTCCAGCACAACAAGTTATTTTTACTGTTCAAGTTCTAAACATATTTTTCTAACCCAAATAACCATTATCAGCACACTTTTTTAAGGTCATTCGATATTGAAGATTGCCTAATTATTGCATGTGTTATCTCATTATCAGTCCATATAACCAGTTACATTCATAAAAAATGATAAAATAGTAATATTTGTTATAGAGTAACACACACAGTAACATATTTGTTTCATGGCGTGGGGGGTAAAGTTGAAATTGTATTTCGTTGAGTTTTGTTTTTCACCACACAAAAGCAAATTATATTTGGTTGGTGGTTTTTACACACGACTTAGTAGGTGCCTCAAAGTATGCTTTGGTTTTTGGTTTTTAAGTATAAAGCAACAGCAAAAGAGCAGCAGCGTTGCCATTTGGTTTAATTCTATCACAAAAATGTGGGAGATTTTTTATTCGATGTGGAAAGAAAGAAAGGCTAGCTAGTTTTTCATTGTGGTAAGAAGGTATTATTATATTTTAATGAATAAAAAAGACACGACTAATTCATGAAAAAATCTGAAGCTACAGAGAATGGTAATTTAAATGAATACTCTAAATTTAATTTTTTATCTAAAGCTCTAGCCTTAACAGGAAACTGTTTGGTACAATATTTTTGAAACACTAAATTTTTACAGAGTTGAAGTCAAGAGAAGTTATAGACGGTGGATCACGAATACCAAGGAGTAAAAATAGAATATATATTTGTTAAATTAAATTTATTTGTTAAATTAAAATAAATAGAAACCAGAGAACTCATGAAGCATCCCTAATAACACTTATTTGTTAGTAAATGGAACTAAGTATGTCTAGCACCATTATAGTAAATACTTTGAGTAAGAATTTGAATCAACAGCAGTGTATGAAAAGCCGCAGATAGTATAATATTTAGAAAACGTAAAGTATGTAAGTAAATAATATAAATTTTTCCTGTTCATAACTTCGTCATAACTTCGATTTGGTATTGGGGCAAACCAATAGAATCTAGACAAGGCGCTGATTCGGCAGAAAATGGAAGCCATTTGTGAAGCCTACTTTGTGACCGATGTATACAATGGAAAGGGAAATAGGGATCAGAAAGAATAACTAGTAAAATAGCTTATTTCTAGATGGATATTGAATATGGAAAATCTATTCTCCTTTCGGAAAAGATCCAACCTTTCACGCAATTGAATAATAAATGTTGTCCAGAATATAACATTGTTTTTCTTGGAGATAAATAATACAGAAAATAGCAGACCCAGTGAATTAGACTTAACTGGTCCCTGATTTACTTCACACAACAAATAATAATGTGGGAAGTTTACTTGCATGTTAGGCTGGAGATAGGACCAAAACCGGTGCAAAATACGAAACTTAATATTAGAATGCTTCTCGAGATTATAAATGATACAAAAAAAAAAAAAAAAAACTATGTTTATTAGATACGGCTGTTTAATGAACACAATTTTGTATTGTCTAACCAAAGACATATCAGATGCCTAATCCGATAGTATATAATGCGTGAACACTTGTCTGAAAGATCAAAAAAAACGTGGCATTAGATAAGTGGTAGCAAGAAGTAAACAATGAATTTGTAAGCAAACGCTGGCAGTGTGATAAAATCGACAATTAAACAAAAGTCTCTAAAAGATGTACCAGGAAGGCAGAATTGTCTGAACTTAATAGGACTAATATTTTTAAATAATCGGACCGCATGAAGCGGACTATTCTCGTAAGAGTTAAATTCCTACATTTTAATAGCCTTCACCGTTGGGGAATGAATAGATTAAAAAAATAAAAATCGTGGAAAGCCGTTTAAACATATAAAATTGTGCGGTATCGCTTTATGGAAGCTCCACCCAAAAGCGTACCAATTTCGAATTGGTTTCATCCGAGTTAATGAAATCAACGAGACAGCCCACTAACAAATTATTCCCAAAGGAGTAAGAAAACATGGTACCGTTTAATATCTGAAATCGGGAGTGGATCGATTTCGAAATACATATTGGCTGAGTAGGCGATTACGTTGCTAAATGGGGTCAAGATTTTGAAAATGCCTCAGGTCAATAAATTAGGGACCGAAATATGGGATGATTTCAATAAATCTTGTAAAATTATAGCCCACTCCTTTAGAAAGCTTGATCAAAGGCATTCAACAACCCTATCACGGGATATACCGAAACAGAGTCAATTTTAAATCCACTTAAACTGACGGGAAAAATATGATTATGAGAACAAATTTTGGTCTTCTAGTTGGTCTGCTTTCAAAGGACATAAACAAATCATTTTAGAATTTTACGCTGATCATAAGCTCTTAAATGATTGTTTCAATGAGCTACTAAAGAGGGCTACAAAAAACTTTGCGACTAAAAAGCCGTTGACATACCAGAAGAGGGAGGGATAAAGTTAAAATGAATTCCTGATTTGTCAAGGACCTCTCTAACCCTACCAACAAATCTAAATATTATATTTCATCCATTGTTCTTGCATGACCATTAGTGGTAAACTCAACTTCTTGTTTACATCTAATCTAAGAACATTTCTATGAATTCAGGATTAAACAATGGACGGAGGTTCCGATTAAAGTGACAGCCTTTTACGGTAACACATTCATAAAACCACAGCAGATAGTTTCCATCTGTTTCTGTATGACGATACGAAAGTGAACTGGAAAGAAAAACATAAATTCCAGAAGTATTTTTATAATTAAAAAATAATCATAAATTTGAAAAATATACAGGGTTGGGTTTTTCCGTTTTGGGATCGTCATACAAAAGCAGACAATAAGAAATAAAAATTGAGAACTTTGACAATGTAAAAAATGTATAAACAACTTAAAGATGTCTTAAGTCAGTCGGTACACTTTTAGAGACAATATGATAATATTCCGTTCTAAAATAAAAGTAAATGAAATTAGTTTCAAATGTGGTTACTAATCTTTATATTAGTAAAAGTTAAGGGTAAGGCGCCACTTTTATATATTAGGAAGACTTACATGGTTTCAAAGCACCAAACCCTAAGAGCCTTTGTTTTACAAAGCGAATATTAAATTATGAAGTACCTTTGGGAGGCTAGTAACAAAATTGGAAGTGATATTCAATTTTTTAAAGACTTGAGACCCCATAGTAATAAATTTCAAAACATTTAGCCATGGTTTGAAAAGTGTAAAATCTACCAATATTAGACGTGGACCTAGCTGAATGTTAAGTAAACAACACCTTGGGGTATTGTTCCGATCAAGGACCCTAAATAGTTATGGCTCTATTTTCTTAATTTTAAATTTTAATATGGGAACATTCACGTCCTCTCATTGTATTGTAAATACAGAGCAACGTATTGTTTAAAAAAAAAAAATTAAAAAAATATAGATTATAATTGAATCTATATATGGTTATAATATCCATTCAAATTGACACTTTTGTTATAAGCCACGAATGGATCATTTGACCACACTTCATCTGACCATCAAATATCATTAAAATCAACAGCTTTCATTTGCCCACAAAACAAAAATATGTCATTGAATGTGACTATAAAATTGTACACTTGACAATAGATATTTAAATAATTGTAAAACAAAAATAACGCCAAATACCACAACACTTGGCGGCAGTGGGTGGCTTTGTTATAATAATAAATGAATTGTAATTATTATGAAATATGACGAAGATAGTTTTGAAAGTGGAAACAAAAACAAAGCTCATCTTTGGTACGAATTGTGCAAATGAATGAGGAAATATATCGGAATGTAGGCGAGTGCATGATTTATATAATTACTTACACATTGGATCTGGGTGTGGGCACTGGGGTTCGCCGGATTTGCGACGCTGTCAATGAAGACCGCCGCAATTGGGCGGGTGCATTCTCCTCATCGTCTTCATCTTCACTGCCAAAGGGATTTTTCGAAATACGTGGTGGTGGTGGCCTGGGTGGTGGTATTTTGGGTGTTGATGTTGAAGTATTTTGCGATTTTTCCAATTCAATTTCATCATCCGAAGAATCGAAAGGATTCAAATTGACTTTTTGAGTTGATGGTTTTCTTAGCTCTACATTTTCTTTATTTTCTTCCCCTGCTTGGTGTTCGTTGTCATCTTCATCGTCGGATTTGAAGGGATTTAGATCCTCGGGATATTCTTCAAGGGGAATTTTACTTGGAGTTTGATGGGGAGTGGAACTATCTTTAGATGGTACTGTAGGATGTTCTTCTTCTTTTGGTGTTTCTTTTAATTGAGTCGAATTATCTCCTTGTTTTTCTTCTGTAGGTTGTTGTTCTTCTTGTTCTTCAATTGACTTTATCTTATCTTCTAAAATTTCATTGTCTTTTGTTTCCATCTTTAAAGGCACTTCGTCTTCTTTCTTAGTTAAGATTTCTTCTTCTTTTTCAGTTAAGAGTTCTTTTTGTTCTTCTTGGCTGCTTGCCTGGACTTTTTCTGAAACTTCTGCAACAGTTTCAGTGTCCATTTTCAAAGTTTCTTCACGTGGAGCTGGTGTTGGTATAACTATTTCAATTTCTTGTTCAGAGCGGCTTTGGGACTCATTTTCTAGGGTCGGTGATGTTGAAGTTACAGTTTGGGTTTTGTTCAATTGTTTTTCTTCCGGATGTTCTTTTGTATTAGTTGTTGTTGTTGTTGCAATTTTAGTAGATTCATTATCTTTTTCATTATTTGTAATTACTTCAAATTGTTGCAGACGAGCACGTACTACACTAAGTCTTTGTGTGGTCTCCTTATCCTCTACAGTCATTGGTATGCTAGACTCCATACTATCTTCAGTTGGAGATTTTGTGCGTAATTCCACATTTTCATGATTTTCACTGGTTTCAAGTTCTTTCTCCACCGAAGACTCTCTTGACTTAGGACTGATACTGGAGGAGGTCACTTCAATTGGAATCTTCTCCGTTGTTACTGTAGCTGGTTCTGTTGTGCTTTCGAACTGCTGTGCAGCTTCGGTTGTCGTTTCCATAGCCACGATGGAAGCATCAACTGTTGCTTTGTCTTTGGTAACACAATCATTATCATTAGTTTCTTTACAAGCTAAATTATTTTCTAATTCTATTTGCTGTATTGTCTTCTTTGTATCGGCTAATTTGGGTGCCATTATCGTTTCGGGGTCCTTGGGGGACGAGGGTTTCTGTTCAACATCGTTGTTGTTGGTTTTGTCAGTAGTTTTCTTGGTAGATGTAACACTAATTTCCAATTCAGTTGTCGCTTGGATTGGTGTCGAGGTCCTTATAATATTCTCTTCTTGATCGGCATGTAGTTCCCGAGTGGTTGAGGTTGTTGCATCTGAACCCAATATCAATTGAGCTGAAGCTGTATAACGTTTATTGGTTTCTTCTTTATTTTTCTCTTCCTGCTGCTGTGGCTGCTGCTCCGCTACCATAAATGGTGGTGGTAGGGATTTTGGTAATTCCGGTGGCAATGATACCGATGTCAAGTCATCTGTTTCCTCCGAATCGGATGTTTCCATTTTGGAATTTTGTATGGAAGATGACAGCGATTCACTTTCATCTTCATCACGATCGGGATCAGTTTCTGTTTCATTATCAGGCTCATAGTCAACGGTATCATTGAGAAAGTTCGACAAGGCAGAATTCATCTTATAGCCTCCCGATGTTGAGGGTGTCATTCCAGAAGGCTTTTCCATTCTTTGCAATGATTTTGATTTTTCTTCGTCGCTGAGACTTTTTTGCAATAGTTTACAATCTCTATCCAGTGGATCTGAATGTTGTTGTTGTTTTTCAAAGAATGCCAAACGATCACGTATGGAACTGCGTACCGTTCTGGTGCTGCTGCTGCTAGCAGTGGCAAAACCTGATTCACCTTCTAAATGATGATCCCGCCGCATTTGTACTGGCGATGTTTCGGCTTCTGCAGTAGCTGTTGTACTAACATTCTCTGCAGCACTACTATTGGCAGTGACAAAATCACCACCACCAGTGGTGATTTCTTCATCGGGACATGTTTCACAAACATATTGTTCATCAACCTCCGTTTCATAGAAACTTCCCGGTGTCAGTTGGGAACCACAGCGAGCACATTTCAGACATGTCCGATGATAGACTTTTTTGCCTACTAACAAACGTTCGGCCAAAAACACGGGTAGCTGACACTTACGACAGGGATCGCGCCTGGGGACGCCAACCACATGGGCCATCTGTAAGGGAAATAGAAAGAAATAAAATCAGATATTGTTCAATATTTCAATTTTTATGCTAGCAATTTGAAGTTAGTAAAGTTTGTTAAAAAATGTATGTTATACAATTTATTAGCATATTTCAGAATGAAAGGGTTAGAATACAACATGTCTACTGTACTTTAAGAATTGAAGAGGTTTTAGGTAATGTTATACATGTTGCTTTTAAATTTAGAGATAATATATTTAGCTCTCAAAAAACCGCCTCAAAAACTAGTTTTCACATGTGCTCCAGATAAAGATTCTGAATGAATTTTAATATCTGAGCTCAAAATCTCAGCTCCAATTTCCAAAGATTTTAACTGATTTGGCTGTAACTAGGCTCTTTGCTATTCAGAGACCCTGAACAATTGCGTCAATTTTGAGGCTATTTTAGCGATTATTTTGGTCTATTTTGTGGAAGGAAGGATAAAAAGGAAAAGTCGAAAATATTTCGTTTGAATATGTAAATTTTAATTTTATTATATTGGAGGTTTACGTAGACACAACTACACATCGGATAATAGGGAATGGAAGAATTTGGCCACTGAACTTTGGTAACTACAACGCTTTGATCCATTTGCAAACTTTGTGAGAAGTTACAAGACTATATAGTAATGTGTCATAGTATTGTTATATGAAGTCAGAAGTCAATATAAGGCACAGGGGTTGCCTTGTAAGCCCGAAACCAAAAAAGTTATGAATTTGTATCAATAGCATGGGCTCAATTAAGTTCAGTTGTATTGCCAATGAAATACTTTTTTTAGGAGAAACCTCTCAATGGAGTTGGCAGTGTCGTAGTAGCTATAGAAAACGATCCATATTTGTAAAATTGGTCAATGGAGCTGGTAGTATCATTTAAGGCTTTCATTGAGTAAAAAATCAGTTTTGGAATGACCTCCACCATAAAAGGGTATCATTAGATTTTGATTTATATAATATTTTGATACATATAAAATTGTAATATTTTTTTACAAAAACCGATTTCAACTCTTCAAGGGAATTGATCGGAATTTTGCGTCTTGATGGTTTAAAGTAACAACATTTCAATCCAGGTCCACGAATTGCTATGGATTTAAAGAGATCCAAATAATTGCTGTAAAATCATCCAATTTGAATAATTTTGTAGTTATTAGCCAATGTTTGTAACATTTCAATTTTCATTTGGTATTTCACGCTTCCAGTGTAAATTAGTTTTAGGTAGGCGTACATATTTTAATGTTTGAAGGTAGACAATTAGGGATTTCTACCAGAATTTCGACGATAGGGAAATACCCACTGAATTTTTGGGTTTTTTAATACAAATTTCACACAAATTTTCTAAATTTTGTGCACTTATCATTCTGTGGATAAGAAATATTATTTTAGAGAATTTTAAATTTTCTGTTGGGAGCTTTTGGATCTTTTATTTTCGGATTTGGATTCGAAGCGAATAAAAAATCTTCTGACTTTTTGGGGTTTAAAGTCACAGATATGTTTTTCAAATTTGGAAAAAATACTCGTTCAGAAAATTTATACTATATGGTTTAAAGCATGTTAGAGGCTTTCGCATAATTTATTTGGAATTTTAAGGGAATATGAAATCACCAGCCATATCTAATCTTGATAAACCTATTAATTTTCATCAGTTTTTAATATATTCCAAATTTCATTCTAAGTGAATAAGACATCTGCTTGTTGTTTTACTGGCTTGTGCACGTTTGACGTTTGACTTTATTAATAGTAAATCTAGTAATGGATAGAATTGTTAAGTTAGCTCTGGGAGAACTACTTTGTCCAGAAAGTAAACTAAAGGAACAATTATTAAAAATATCAAAATTAGATCCTTTAAAATCAGCAATCAAATCAACAATCCTTTAAAATCAGCATTGCAGGTAATAAAAAGCTGCAATCATGCACTACTTGCTTTTACTCAAGAAAATTTGTGTAGTATAAAATGTTAAGAGCTGTTTTTTTTTTCTTAAAATTTACAAGAACGAATTTCCTGGTAACAAGTTTAAAAAGTGGTACAAGTGATAGATTATTTTATAGCATACTTTTAGGCGTATCTCACAAATTCAAACTAACACGAATATATTTAGAGTATAAGTTTAGTTTAAATATAAGTATATTATAAATATATGGTAGAAGAATACAGACAGAATCAGCGCTTGGAAACATTGATAAGTCAATTTTTTTCAAAATAAGTAGATTTTTATGTTTTTCTATAAGACGTCAATCTGATAGGCCATCTTTTTAACAATTTTTACCAATTTCAATAATTTTTCATTCAAAAATTGTACTTCCAAAATTGGTTTGACAGTTCACCGTTCCAGCAGCTGCTGTATTCTTCTACCATGAGTAAATATAGCATAGATTACATACAATATATATTTTCGGGAACGTTTAAAAGTATGCTATAAAAATGCTATATATAAATGTGAAAAATTCAAATTCTTAATTTTGTCTTTAATTCTCCTAGAAAATGATTTTATATCAAAAGCCGGGACTGTTCTAAACTGTCGAGTTATTCCATTATAGAATTTATACAACAAAAGTTTTATCGATTTTTAGTTCATTTAAAAAAATGTCATTATTGTATGCGGGAATTAAGGGTAATTACGGGTTAGTCGTAGGACAGTATTGGTATTGGTAGTGTTATTTCACAACTAACTACAATATCCACTTTAAACGTTAGCAGTTAAATTTCGTTTTAATTTCTTTCTGTTTTATTATTGTGTGTTTCGTGTAAGGGTGATTTTAACAAATTTAGGTCAATGTAATTTTGCTAACAACAAAAAAATCATACAAAATGTAGAATAAATGGTGTATACATTTGGGCTACATTTTAATGGTTGGATAGTATACTTTTAGGATCAAAACTAGTGGGTATTTTTCTTGTTTGAATAATGGATTTAGGTGTAAACTGAGGTGTGTGTGTGTGTGGTTGATGGGGTGTATGATTGTATGAATTGTAACACAAAAAGCATGTATGATTTTTCTAAAGCGCATTCTATATTATGAGCAAAGCCAATTGAAGACAGAGATGTAAAAACAGTAGAGTAGACACATTGAAGTGACAAACTAAAGGCAGAAAACTAAAACAGACTCGTTAGTAAATATATTTTGGCAAATAAATTATGAAATGACTTACCTGTGTTACTTTTGTAAAAATCCGTCAATTATTGAATTATACATGGACATTGGGTTGATGAGGAGAATCTTTTGTGGTTACTAATTTTTTGCGTTGATGTGTTGACGATAATGGCAAAGTGGTGTTTTCCTCAAATTGACATATAAGCGATATTTTGTTGTTGTTGAAATTTGACAAACAATACAATGAAGAGATTCTTAAGACATACAAACAAATATTTGTTTTGCATAAAATTCTAAATGAGATTTATGTATAATTGATTTTCTTGTTGATGTATTTTTAACAAAACACAATAAAAATGTATTTTTGTTGAACTTAAAAAATTAAGGTTGAATTTTTGTTCTCGCTCCTTCTGCTCCTCCTGCGGCAAACCAAAACGTTTAAATGTATTGGTACATTTGTATATATGTAGTTGTATATGTATGAAAAAAATCCTTAAATTTTTAAAGTGATGTATGAGATACTTTTTTGTTGTTGTAATAATGCTTTAGTTGTTTTGTTCTTGTTGTTGATTGTTCTTGTGGTGGTTGTAACTGCAACGGGGGATTTTGATTGCAATTCAAATCAAACGTTAAGGTAATTCAAAAATCAATTACTCTTAGATGACACAATTCCAATTGGGGTTTTAATTATCCTTTAATTTGTTCGTTGATTTGTTCTCTCCGGTGCGGCAGTTTTGTTTTGCAAAAAATTTGTTCATTAAAAAAATGGGTATTTCAAAAACAAACAAGACACAAGGAGCTGTTGATGTTGACTGTTTGAATTATGATTAGCATAAAGTTTTGTATCAATTTTTGTTTGTTGCTGTTGTGTGAGTGTGTGTAATTCTTAATATTCTTCTTTACACTTAATCTGACTGCTTTCTTAACAGAAGATTTCAGGTTTATACTGTCCCATTATATCCAGACTTTTATCATCCTATATTTGGAGAAAAAGAGAGAAAAGACAAGAGAAAAAAACAAAACGTATATAGAGATATATTTATAATTATGAATTTTTGTTTTCTTTTTTATTATTCCAAACCAAAAATCGGGGATTAGTATTAAAGTTTTGGGTTAATATTCGAAAAAAATCAGTTTGTTAGTTTTTGGGAAAATATCGTGGAGTGTTAGAGGAAAATTAATCTTCAAAATGATTCCACAATACTCAAGAAGTGTGAAATGATAAAGGAAATAAGGGGTATTAGTAGCGCCAACTAGCTGCATTTTATTTAAGGTTATGTTAGTGATGCATAACAAACAAAACTAAATGTTATTAAAATATTTACATATTTACAAAAGATTCAAAACAAAAATCGATGAAGGTCAATAACAAAGGAACCATACAAATACACATTATTTGAAGTTTTTGTTAAATGCCTATTAACACATTGAACTGTAAACAATCACTTTTAACTCTAAACTTTTTGAATTGCATTTTTTATAGAGACGAAACGCTCACTTCAAGTTTACCATAACAAAAGCATGCTACTGACATTAAAAAACAAAGAGAGAAAATGCTATTTGAATGCAAAAATGTTGAATATAAAACAAATAAATTCACAACATCCCAGCAAAAATTGGAGAGCCTGTTGAGCCGAATAACGTATTACAAAATAATGTAAACAAAAAAGTCCTTTCGATTAAAAAAATAATGGGATATTCCCAACAATATTTTTTTTTACTCAATACCAGGTGACTGTGGTACAGAGGGACCTTTATCGACTATAAAATGGAGAATAGTGACTCCGAAGCCCTCTGTCGGCAAATGCACAAAAAAAGATAAAAACGAACCTCGAGACATAAGACATTATTCTAGTAAAAATGCACATAAATAATGGATATACAAGGATATACCCTCCACTATTCCAGGGTACAGGGTATATTAGCATTGTCACTCCGTTTGTAACTCCCCGAAATATTCATGATATGCTCCAAAGTATATATATTCTGGATCAGCGTAAAATTTTAAGACCATTTAACGATGTGCACCTGTCTGTCTTTCCCGTATCAGTCTGTTGTAATCACGCTATCTTTCGAACGAACACATGTGTATATTGCCAGTAGGCAGGTTAAGTTCGAAAATGATCCATGTCGGTCCACGTTTTCGTATAGCCCCCATAAAACGGTACCTCCCGATATTCGGTATTTTGATGATTTTAGCGACATTATTCACCCGAATTGTCTCAAATTTCGTATTCGAAGATATTAATGGGTACTACAGTCTATGACAAAAATAAAATTACGTATGCAAGTCCACGTCTTCGTATAGCCCCCGTATAAATATATAACAGTATTTTTCGTAACCCGGCTGAACTTAGCCGCTTTTTACTTGTTTTTTCCTTTTTTTTTTTTGACTAGCATAAATAGACTTACAATTTTTTTTAATTTCTTTTTAAGTTTTTTTTTTAACCACGCAACTTTGCAAGATCTTCCAAAAAGTATTCTGAGAAAAATCCACAACTTTTGTCAGGGAGAATCCTTGGAAATGATATTCTTATACAAAATGCACAACTTTTTCCATCGGCCTAGAAATTTAAAATAATTTCATTCAAAACCGAAATTTTTTTCAAGATGGCCTAGTATAAAATATTCTAACAATTTAATTTTTTATCAGAAAACGTTGAAAAAAATATTTAAAATAATACAAGACCTTTTGAAAAAAATCTTTGGAAAAAATTATCACGTTTTTAACCTGGAAATCTTAAAGAATTATTTTAAATAATTTACCAGGAATTTCTAGAGAATTTATTTAAAAAAAATTACGTTTCTGAGCCAAGAAGTCCTAAAAAATCAAAATTTTTGGGTCAGGAATTTTCTTATATATTTTTGCACTTTGCGAATGTTTGATACATTTTGCCAAACCGGAAGCCTCGCAGAACTATTTTAATCGCATAATTTAAAAAAAACTTGACCTTGACCTTGACTTGTCTATTTATAGAAATTTTATAGAAATATCTTTTTATTCAAAGATCCGATCGACACGAATAGTCTACTATCTGCAGCCGTAATTTATTAAGCATGTGGAAATTTCTAATTTCTTTTATTTTTTCTCCCAAAAAGTAAGTTTTTATGTGTCAGGTGCTACGTCAGGTGCGAAATTGGATAATATCGGTCCATTCCATCAAGTACCTCCCCCACAAAGGGTCAAAAATTTGAATAATTATAACTCTTATAAAATGTGATGTAATAGTTCAATTGTCTTCAAATTACACACATCACAATATTTTATTAATCCAAGGTCTGATGTGGATATGGAACATATTTGTCCACTCCTTCTGGTACCTCCAACCGAGAAGGTCAACATTTTGAATATCCATGAAGCTCATAAAACGCGAAATTAACATCCAATTCCATTCAGGCTTGGTACATCTTAATATTTCTGTCAACACAGGATATGTTATAAAGATGGTAGATATCGGAACATTTCTTCTGGTACTTCCCCCACTAAGGGTCAAGATATTGAATAACCAAAACGATCATAAAATCCAAAATAAGCATCCGGTTCTCTACATATCTCATTATTTTTACTAACATAAGATTTATTTTAAAAATGGGATATATCGGCCTACTCCTTCTGGTACCTCTCCCACAAAGGGTCAATATTTGGAATATTCATGATGCTTAAACAGCACCAAGTTAATATGGGATTTCATTCAGACTTTGTACATCTTTATATTTCCATCAACACAAGATCTGTTGTAAAGATGGTAGAAATCGAAACATATAGGGTTCAAGATTATGAAAACAAACTCCTCAGAGAAAGCGAAATAAGCACCAACTATCTTCAAATGTCACACATACAAACAATATTTGATAACACAAGATCTGTTGTGAAGATGATATAAATATGCGAACCCCTTCTGGTACCTCACCCACAAAGGATCACAATTTTAACTACTTTTATCTGTCATAACTTGCGAAACAAGTCAGCGATTCTTTACAACTTGCTAAATCTAAACCAGAACCAGAAGCCTGAGATGAATATGGAATTTATGATTTCGCATAAAATTGGATACAAATGTTCGATTTTTTTATAATATTGCCAATATTTTTATCTGTATTAGATGAGGTATGAAAATGGAATACTTCGGTTGACTTTATCTGTAGTGGAATTCTGTAGCTCATTTTCTGAGTTACCGAAAAAATCGGTAAAATTCAAATGCTTATAATTTCTGTAATTAACGACGAAATGAAAGTCGTTGCTAAGACCTACCGATCGATACCAATGTTGTCAAGTTTTATTTGTTTTTTGATAACAAAAATGAGATAGAGAATCCCACTACTGGTACCTAAGTTTTAAGTTTTAAAAAGTATCACATATGTGAAGGTAGTAACCAATATTGTCCAAACCTGGCACGTCACAATATTTATATCATATTTATTTAGGTCCGATACGAAATGGACAATATTGGTCCATTACTTCGGCACCTACTCTATAGAGAACCAAGAATTCAAAATATATTTAAATATTCGAATATTGGCATATATCGAATATTGACATATACTTTTTAACTTGTTTTATTCCATTTAAGACATTTTTTTGTGTATTCCAAAATATTAATTTGGTCTTTGAGTCTTTTGAAGAATAAGTTTTAAGATTTTCCATAAAAAAATGTTAGTATCGATACTTTTGCTAGTTTTACGTTTCGTAATAATCTAGGAAGTTATTAATACCATAAAGATTCATATTCATGGTTACTCAGTATCTCCTACACAAAACAATGACCATTAAATCAATAAAATTCCTTTAAAGAATTATGGCGAAGCGAATTTTTAATGTCACGTTTTTTGCAAACGAAAGTTTATGGCAAAAAATGCTTTAAATGGCAAATTGCATTTTTTTGGAAATATTGTGAAATTTTTCGTCAAACATCAATTTCATAAATTTAGTTAAAACCAATTAAATTAATAATAGTTTTAATTAAATATTACCATAGTATTGTGGGTAGTCAGAAATAGTGAAGATAACACGGAAGTCAAATTATTTTTAAAGAAAACCCTCCCCAACCTTAACAACACCAATTAAATCGCTGAAAAAGGAAATGCTAAATCATTCGCGAAGAAAACATAGAAAAAGTGACAAAATTTCTACCCTTCTCAATTTGACAGTAAATTTTAAATATTCACAAGCGTGTAATAAGTAGAAGAGAGAAAGTACAATTTTTGTGGCAAACGATAGAGACAGTCCATTTATCCAACTCATTGTGTTAATTAATATTGTCACATGTGCAAAGACATGAAGAAAAACGACTACCTTTTTGTATGAGTTTCATGACTAAAATGCAAAAATTATAGAATTTAGCAGTCAAATGCTAAGTGAAAGATGAGCATTGTATCTATCCATTTGTTGCTTGTTTTAATTAGAATTGCTGCCGGCTTGTTGAGATGATAAACTCAACCGACAATATTGAAAATTAAGGTTTATAAATAGTTTGAAACCTACATGCCGTCATTTTATTTTTACAAATACATCATTTGTGAAAAAAAAATTACACTTACACTTCGATAAGCCGCTGAATACTAATCTGTTGTTGATGTTGTGTAAATAAGTAATAGGCTTTGTTATGAAGCGCGATCAGCAGTTGAATTTGTCATCGATTTTATTTTTTGCATTGGAAAAAATACTCATTTATTTACGCAAGCAAATAAAAAGCTTTAATTAAATTGTTTTCTAATTGGAAAAATACATGTGTCAAGTCCAAAAGCAAAGTCCGGATCTCCAACCTAGTTTTTTTTTATTTGTATTGCTTTTTGTTATAAAATTTGTATTTGAATACTAAACAATTAAAAGGTGCGGTGGAAATAAGTGATAGTTTTTAAAAATCACCAATTTGAAAGAGGTTCGCTGTATTAAGCCTCTTATTGCAGCGATTCTAAACACTTCAAGAATTAAGGCATTAAAATTAAAAAAATCAATTCGTTGAAAAAGAGAAAAAT